CCATCTGTCATCACTGGTGACGAGTTACGACCAGACCTTCTATTGACAATTGAAAATAAGATTTTGTACATTCTAGAATTAACTGTTGGATTCGAAACAAACCTGAAAACTAACTCAGATCGAAAACATGAAAAATATTTGACTCTAACAGTTACCGATCAAGAAAATGTATATGATGAAGTTAAGTTTGTTAATGTATATATAAGCTCTTTAGGTGTATTTGGTGAATCGACGAATACTTTATTTGATATGCTCCATGATCTGAAGTACGACGAACAATGTATTAAATGTGTAAAAAAGAAAATAATTGCTACTTGTATTCGCACGTCGTATTATATATTCTGTAGACGAAACAAAGACTGGAACAACCCAGAACTTTTAAACTTTTAACTAAATTTAAAAGATTTTCACATGTATATATAATTTAGCTTTAAACTCAATTCAAGTGGACATCGATAAGCTACCTTTTATTAAATGAGGTTTATCAATGTATATATAGTATATCGTAAATATCTAATAAAAAGTTTCCATTATTATTATTATAAAAATAAAATCTGCCCAGTACCTGCCGAGTCTGCCGAAGCTTTTGATCAATAAGGATCTCATACCAACGATTAAGACTGGAGAATCATTTGAGTATTTGGGACGACACTTCGACTTTAGCATGACTAATGAAAAACATAAATCTAAACTGATCTCCCTCATTGATGAACTAATGTCCGAAATAGATCTTAAACCTCTTCACCCAAAAAACAAAATTTTACTTTACAATTACAGTCGTTATGTTTTGTCGAAACTATCCTGGCATTTTACTGTTGCTACGATATCTAAAACTTGGGTAGTCGAAAATATCGATTCTCCGGTGAACAAGTACGTCCGAAAATGGCTGGAAGTACCTATATCTGGAACATTAAGTAACATCTTTCTAACCCGTAATAAGTTTGGTCTAAATATCATCCCTGCATCCGTCAAGTTCATTCAGTGTCAAACAGTTCTACGCAATGCCCTAAAAACATCTCCAAACGATTCAATTAACGAACTGTGGAAGTCAACTAATAACCATACTAACATTCAATACGATAGCTACAATTCAACTAAAGAAGTTTTAAAAACTTTCCATTCTCAACAAGAAAATAAACTTAGGGACCGTTTGAAATGTCAAGGTTCCTTTTTCGAAAATGTTTCTAAATTCTCCCTATCACAACTTAACGCAATCTGGTCGGTATCGCAATCAAAGCTACCAAAGAACATTTTCAACTTTACAATTCGGTATATAAATAATACCCTTCCTACCCGAAAGAACCTCAGTAGATGGGGAATTTCATCAAGTCCCGACTGCTCGTTCTGCTTACACCCTGAATCACTTCTACACGTTGTTGCCGGTTGTCAACATTACTTGGAACGATTTACTTGGAGACACGATTGCATACTAAACTTTCTTGTAAAAACTTTTCAAAGTTTAAACGAATGCAAATTACTTGTTGATCTTCCTGGATTTGAAAGCCCCTCGATTATTACGGGAGATGAATATCGTCCTGATTTACTTGTCTCCACTTCAGACAAACACCTCTACGTTGTTGAAGTTACCGTAGACTTTGAATCAAACCTCACAAACAATGTTAACCGCAAGAAAGCTAAATATAAGAACCTAATTAGAGAACTGGATCAAAACTTTACATCTGTAAAATTTATAAATCTTTCTGTCAGTTCGCTAGGGGTGTTTGACAAAGAATGTCATACATTCGTAAAAATGCTAAATGAGTTCGGACTGGATAATCAACACCAACAATATTGTATCAGAAAAATTATATCTATTGCCATCCGATCAACGTACTACATATTTTGCTGTAGAAATAAAGAATGGAGAAATCCCGAACTAATGAACATTTAAAGTAACTATTTCTATAAATAATTAACAATTTTTGTATATAAAATTATAACCATGCATGTATAAGTGATTCAAGTAGTCAATTGTAGGTTACCTCAAGAAGTGAGATTTACAATTGTATATATCTATAAATGTTCTATTAATAAAGTTTTCATTATTATTATTATTATTATTATTATTATTATTATTATTATTATTATTATTATTATTATTATTATTATTATTATTATTATTATTATTATTATTATTATTATTATTATTATTATTATTATTATTATTATTATTATTATCCTTTAAGCAATCATCGACAAGACTGTGTGAAGCTATAGCCAGAATGACCAAGACTTTGTGCACACAATATATCGATCCTACCACTATTGAAGCATTGATTGCTAGTCGTTTAATTCCCCTAGACAAAGGCGAAGGTGCGGTAAGACCTATCGGAGTAGGAGAGGTAATAAGGAGGATAAGTGCAAAATGTGTTATATGAGCTTGGCAAAGAAGGATGTTGTGGAAGCAAGTGGATCGTTACAATTATGCGCTGGGCAAAAGTCTGGAAGTGAGGCTGCAATACATGCAATGAACACCCTGTTTGAAGCTGATGACATTGATGCTGTTTTACTTATCGATGCTTCCAATGCATTCAATGCACTTAACAGAACTGTGGCTCTGCATAACATCCGTGTGTTATGTCCGATAATCGCTGCCTACGCTATAAACACCTACAGACAGCCAGCTCGGCTGTTTATTGTTGGCGGCAAAGAGATTGCGTCAGCAGAAGGAACTACACAAGGAGATCCTTTGGCAATGGCCTTTTATGCGATAAGTACCCTGCCTTTGATCACGAGTCTACAGGCCGCATCTACCGTGAAGCAGTGTTGGTTCGCAGACGATGCGAGTGGAGCTGGTCGTGTGACACAAATCAAAGATTGGTGGGATGCATTGAATACTCTTGGTCCAAACTTGGGATATTTTCCGAAAGACGAAAAATGCTGGATTATTGTTAAGCCCGAAAAGGAAGAAAGTGTGAGAGAAGTCTTCCACGGAACGGATATCAATGTAACAGTGCATGGGCAGAAACATCTGGGAGCAGCGCTAGGTTCACGAGAGTATCTGGAGGAATATGTTAATGAGAAGGTCTCTAATTGGGTCAACGAAGTGACAGAATTAGCCGAATTTGCACTGTCCCAACCACAAGCGTCCTATGCCGCATACACATTTGGTTTGAAACATCGTTGGACCTACTTCCTAAGAACCCTGCCAGACATCCAGGACCTACTAGAGCCACTCGAAAAGGCAATATCGCAGATTCTCATCCCCGCTATCACAGATCACCAGTGCAATCCACTCGATCGGGACATTCTAGCACTTCCAGCACGTCTGGGTGGCCTGGGCTTGGAAAATCCAAGTCATGAGGCAGAACGTCAGTATGTGTCGTCAAAAAGAGTGACAGCACCCCTTGTTGATCAGATTGTAGCGCAGTTACATCAGCTACCCGACGAGTCGCATATAAAATCAGCGCAACAAGCCGTTAGAAAAGAAAGAGTGCAAGAGTGGGAGGAGAGGGCAGAACGTATTACAGAGAATGCACCACCAAGAATTCAGCGTATATTAGATGTGGCTTCGGAAAAAGGATCATCTGTGTGGCTCACAGCACTTTCCCTAAAAGAACAGGGATTCAACTTGAATAAGAGAGAATTTCGGGACGCCGTAAAGCTGCGCTATGATTGGCCAATCGACGACATCCCCTCCATATGTGTATGTGGGGATACCTTCACGGTTGACCATGCCATGATCTGCAAACGTGGAGGCTTTGTAATTATGCGCCACAATGAGTTAAGAGATCTGGAAGCGGAACTCCTCAACATTGTCTGTAGTGAAGTCCAAGTTGAGCCTGTCCTACAGGACATCTCGGGAGAGCAACTAAATGGAGGCTCCAACAGAGCACCTGATGCTAGACTCGACATTCGTGGGCGTGGGTTCTGGGAAAGTCAACGATCAGCTTTTTTTGATGTAAGGGTTTGTCATCCCAATGCTGATTCATACAAGGGTCTGGGCCAAGTCTACAAGATACACGAAAACGAGAAGAAGCGCCTATATGCAAGGAGAGTCCTCGAAATAGAGCAAGGAACATTTACGCCACTCGTATTCACCACCACAGGCGGTATGGGCAAAGAATGTGTGAGATACCATAGTCGATTAGCAGAGTTGGTAGCCATAAAGAAAGGAGAAGATTATGCGACAACTATGAGTTGGATAAGAGCCAGAACCTCATTCGTTTTATTGAGATCGGCACTTACCTGCTTGAGGGGTTCAAGGGCAAGGAAAATCATGTATGATATTAGGAACATTGATTTTAACATTGAGAACGCCGAGAGTGCTATCTCTCAAACAATTTAGATTGTACAATATACAAAGTTTGATTGTTTAGTTATTTAGCGGAATATGTTAGTTTAGTTATTTAGCTACTTAGCGGTAAATATTTTAATTATGTCGCGGTATATGTTCCAGAGTTTGTTTTTAAAATTTAACTGTACATATCAACAAACATTTAGACACTTTTTTAATTATACCCAAAGAACAGATTATATAATATAGTCATTGATAACAAAAGCATTGTTGTATATAATGAAATGATGAATAAAGTTGTAATTATTATTATTATTATTATTATTATTATTATTATTATTATTATTATTATTATTATTATTATTATTATTATTATTATTATTATTATTATTATTATTATTATTATTATTATTATGAGACAAACCACTGGTTATGAGACAAACCTCAAAAACAACGTAAAACGGAAGAAGGATAAATATAGAGAATTATTGAGACAGCTAGGTAAAAATTTTAACCAAGTTAAATTTATAAATCTCTCCATCAGCTCTTTAGGTATTTTTGCAGAAGAATGTTATACATTTTTAGACATGTTAGATAGTATTGGTCTTGACAAAAACCACCAAATGTACTGCGTTAGGAAAATGATGACTATTGCTATTAGAACTACATATTACATTTTTTATTGCCGAAATAAGGAATGGGAAAATCCGGATTTACTAACAATTTGACTTATCTCATTGTATATATATATATATTGCATGCACTTTGTTCTGTTATTTTAGTTTAGTATAATTGTGATTCAAATAGCCAACCGTAAGTTACCTTTATGAGAGAGATTTACGATTGTATATGTATGTAAAGAAAAACATTTAATAAAGTTTCCATTATTATTATTATTATTATTATTATTATTATTATTATTATTATTATTATTATTATTATTATTCAGTACGACATATATAATTCAACAAAGGAAGTTCTCAAGGATTTTCATTCTGGACAAGAAGATAAGCTTCAACACCGTCTAATTTGTCAAGGTTCATTTTTCTCGAATGTTGCAAAGTTTTCCTTTTCACAGTTAAACACACTTTGGTCTGCCGCTCAATCAAAACTGCCAAAGAACATTTTCAACTTCACCGTCCGTTACATAAATAACTCTCTTCCTACGCGAAAAAACCTTACAAGATGTGGTTTAGCTTCAAGTCCCGAATGTTCCTTTTGTTTGTGCCCTGAAACCCTACTACACGTGGTAGCCGGCTGCCAATCGTACCTTCAGCGCTTTACTTGGAGACATGATTCTATTTTAAACTTTCTCGCTGAAACGTTTCAAACAACAAATCCATGTCAACTTTATGCTGACCTATCCGGCCACAAAAGCCCGTCAATTATAACTGGTGACCTATATCGACCGGACTTACTCCTAATTACCCCAAATGAAGATCTTTATGTCGTTGAACTTACTGTCGGGTTTGAATCTAATCTACATAATAACGTTGAACGCAAAAAAGCTAAATATAAAGATCTAATTGAAGATCAAAGGGGTCACTTTAATTCTGTTAAATTTGTGAACTTACTCAATGAGCTCTCTCGGTGTGTTTGACAAAGAATGCTTCACCTTTTTAGAATTGTTAGACACTATAGAAATGGATAAAAAGCAGCAACATTACTGCATAAGAAAGATGACGTTTTATGCCATTAGAGCGACGTACTATATTTTTTGCTGTCGAAACAAACCCTTGAATTGTTAAACATTTAAATTAATAACTACATATAAAATATATATAATCATATACCCATTTTATTCTTGTTTTTACTGTAAATAGTACATATGTAGTACTCTGTGATTCATGTAGCCAATTGTAAATTACCTAAGTCAGTAGTGAGATTTACAATTGTATATATACGTAAAAAATTCAATAAAGTTTTCATTATTATTATTATTATTATTATTATTATTATTATTATTATTATTATTATTATTATTATTATTATTATTATTATTATTATTATTATTATAATTAATAGGAAAAAAAAATATATTATTATTATTATTATTATTTTTATTATTATTATTATTATTATTACTAGTATTATTATTATTATTATTATTATTATTATTATTATTATTATTATTATTATTATTATTATTATTATTATTATTATTATTATTACAAGAGCTAATCACTCTCATGGACGACATTATGTCTGAAATTGATCTCAAACCTTTGCACCCGAAAAATAAACTTTTGCTTTATAGTCGTTACCTCCTATCCAAACTTTCCTGGCATTTCACTGTAACCACCTTATCAAAAACCTGGGTCTCTGAAAATAT